CGTGATTCCAGTCTCTCAGTTTTATAGCTAGTTGGTAAGCCGTGTCCCGAGTTTTAACCCTGTCTGTACGCCCTGGGGTCATTTTGTACCCCCCCCCCCCCCCCACCGGGGTTGTATTATCCACATTTCAGAATACTTCTAGAGCGAAGATCTCTTTGAAACTTGAAGTATTTCTTTAAAAAATATCATTTTGACAGACTACTATGCAAAGCGTACCGATCGGATTAACGAGTAAATTTCCTCTTTGGAAAGTGGTGGCACAGAGTTCCCTATGTCTTATGGATACGATAGTAAAACACGACGTACGGATAGGGTTAAGTGGTGGCACAGAGTTCTCCACGTCGTATGGATACGATAGTAAAACACAACGTACGGATAGGGTTAAGTGGTGGCACAGAGTTCTCCACGTTGTATGGATACGATAGTAAAACACGACGTACGGATAGGGTTAAGTGGTGGCACAGAGTTCTCCACGTCGTATGGATACGATAGTAAAATACGACGTACGGATAGGGTTAAAGGACACGTATCATCTAACAAGAAATATCTTGATCACGTGATTCCAGTCTTTCAGTTTTATAGCTAGTTGGTAAGCCGTGTCCCGAGTTTTAAAAATTGTCAGTGAGAAAAGTGGTTATCGTCCTTTTCTCCCCTCCTTCTATTTTGTGTTTGTTACTCTCTAGAAACACCTCTAATCTTCGGCACTTATATAACCGTATTGTGTTGCAAGTGCCGTGAAACTCTTACTAAAACTAAACTAAGAAGAGTGGTTGTCTTAGGCAGGTGGACGTCGTTGTAATGTGGCACAAGAAATAAAATGAAAGGGGGGAGTGAGGAGTGTCCGTTTGTAAAGGAGGTTATTTTAAACAGGTGGCCGACAAAGTAGGTTTGGCTGTATTGTTGATAAAGTTGAATTAACATGCCCCCCTCCCCCCCCCCCTTTTTTCCCACCTTAAAAACAGGCTCGGTTGTAATCCGGAAAGAACTTTTTTTTGTTTTTTTGTTGTTGCTTTTTTTGGGGGGGTGCATATTAAACTAAATCGCGGAAGGTTCCCTATGGTTTCCTCAAACGGGCAATTCTTTTTTGGGCGGTTACGGCACTTTCAAGACCTCCGCCCACTCATGGTATCATGCCTAGCTATGTTGCCATCGATCCTGGTTCGAATCTTCGAGTAGACATTCTCGATCGTAGGTTGTTTGGGAAGTTTTTTCAAGGTTCTCCGCCTACTTGACTCGGTCTTGACGTACATGGACATTAATTTCTGATAGATGCCCTCTTTCCCAAAGCATCTTACTGTGTTGTTTGGAGGCTATATACCCACACTATACCATAAATAGTCGCTTTTAAGGACAATCGGCCTAACCCAGATTTCAGGGGCTTCCAGAAATATTGACCTACCCCAAAAATGGGCATTGCCCTACGTATAGGAGAAGTTTGGTGTCATTGGTGAGTATATTTGTTTAGTTATAGAGTTATAAAGCTTTCTTTGTCTTTTAAAGAAACTGAACAAGAAACGAAAACTTTACATTCGATTTTCTCAAAACAACACTTTTCGGGATAGCCCCCTTGTTCTTAAAAGCGACCAAATACCCCCTTGATTTAAGAACGACCCCATTGCTATCCATAACGAATTATGCAAGGAACCATGGTTGCAATTCGTTTTTGAAGCTAACAATAGCATGAAAAGCATTCCTGAGGAACAGATTTTCCCGTTTACTTTTTTCAAAGGGAAGAGAAGACAAGTCATGTTTTGGAAGGCCCGTTGCAGCCTACAACCCCCCC